GGACCTCCTAACTTTCCTCTTTCTTTCCTGAAAATTTCATAATTTTCCCTTGGACAGTTTTCCGGAAAAAAAATTAAATGTAAGATGATGCATTTATGCCTAATTTGGTTAATTTTCATTGATTTACCATGTCGTTATTTTTCACTGAAAAAAATTGAAATTTCAGTATAATGACCTCCTAACTCTCTTCTTTTTTTCCTGAAAATTTCATAATTTTCCCTTGGACAGTTTTCCGGGAAAAAAAATTAAATGTAAGATGATGCATTTATGCCTCATTTGGTTAATTTTCATTGATTTACCATGTCGTTATTTTTCACTGAAAAAAATTGAAATTTCAGTATAATGACCTCCTAACTCTCTTCTTTTTTTCCTGAAAATTTCATAATTTTCCCTTGGACAGTTTTCCGGGAAAAAAATTAAATGTAAGATGATGCATTTATGCCTCATTTGGTTAATTTTCATTGATTTACCATGTCGTTATTTTTCACTGAAAAAAATTGAAATTTCAGTATAAGGACCTCCTAACTTTCCTCTTTCTTTCCTGAAAATTTCATAATTTTCCCTTGGACAGTTTTCCGGAAAAAAAAATTAAATGTAAGATGATGCATTTATGCCTAATTTGGTTAATTTTCATTGATTTACCATGTCGTTATTTTTCACTGAAAAAAATTGAAATTTCAGTATAATGACCTCCTAACTCTCTTCTTTTTTTCCTGAAAATTTCATAATTTTCCCTTGGACAGTTTTCCGGGAAAAAAATTAAATGTAAGATGATGCATTTATGCCTCATTTGGTTAATTTTCATTGATTTACCATGTCGTTATTTTTCACTGAAAAAAATTGAAATTTCAGTATAATGACCCTCCTAACTCTCTTCTTTTTTTCCTGAAAATTTCATAATTTTCCCTTGGACAGTTTTCCGGGAAAAAAATTAAATGTAAGATGATGCATTTATGCCTCATTTGGTTAATTTTCATTGATTTACCATGTCGTTATTTTTCACTGAAAAAAATTGAAATTTCAGTATAAGGACCTCCTAACTTTCCTCTTTCTTTCCTGAAAATTTCATAATTTTCCCTTGGACAGTTTTCCGGAAAAAAAATTAAATGTAAGATGATGCATTTATGCCTAATTTGGTTAATTTTCATTGATTTACCATGTCGTTATTTTTCACTGAAAAAAATTGAAATTTCAGTATAATGACCTCCTAACTCTCTTCTTTTTTTCCTGAAAATTTCATAATTTTCCCTTGGACAGTTTTCCGGGAAAAAAATTAAATGTAAGATGATGCATTTATGCCTCATTTGGTTAATTTTCATTGATTTACCATGTCGTTATTTTTCACTGAAAAAAATTGAAATTTCAGTATAATGACCTCCTAACTCTCTTCTTTTTTTCCTGAAAATTTCATAATTTTCCCTTGGACAGTTTTCTTTCCGGGAAAAAAATTAAATGTAAGATGATGCATTTATGCCTCATTTGGTTAATTTTCATTGATTTACCATGTCGTTATTTTTCACTGAAAAAAATTGAAATTTCAGTATAAGGACCTCCTAACTTTCCTCTTTCTTTCCTGAAAATTTCATAATTTTCCCTTGGACAGTTTTCCGGAAAAAAAATTAAATGTAAGATGATGCATTTATGCCTAATTTGGTTAATTTTCATTGATTTACCATGTCGTTATTTTTCACTGAAAAAAATTGAAATTTCAGTATAAGGACCTCCTAACTTTCCTCTTTCTTTCCTGAAAATTTCATAATTTTCCCTTGGACAGTTTTCCGGAAAAAAAATTAAATGTAAGATGATGCATTTATGCCTAATTTGGTTAATTTTCATTGATTTACCATGTCGTTATTTTTCACTGAAAAAAATTGAAATTTCAGTATAATGACCTCCTAACTCTCTTCTTTTTTTCCTGAAAATTTCATAATTTTCCCTTGGACAGTTTTCCGGAAAAAAATTAAATGTAAGATGATGCATTTATGCCTCATTTGGTTAATTTTCATTGATTTACCATGTCGTTATTTTTCACTGAAAAAAATTGAAATTTCAGTATAAGGACCTCCTAACTTTCCTCTTTCTTTCCTGAAAATTTCATAATTTTCCCTTGGACAGTTTTCCGGAAAAAAAATTAAATGTAAGATGATGCATTTATGCCTAATTTGGTTAATTTTCATTGATTTACCATGTCGTTATTTTTCACTGAAAAAAATTGAAATTTCAGTATAAGGACCTCCTAACTTTCCTCTTTCTTTCCTGAAAATTTCATAATTTTCCCTTGGACAGTTTTCCGGAAAAAAAATTAAATGTAAGATGATGCATTTATGCCTAATTTGGTTAATTTTCATTGATTTACCATGTCGTTATTTTTCACTGAAAAAAATTGAAATTTTCAGTATAATGACCTCCTAACTCTCTTCTTTTTTTCCTGAAAATTTCATAATTTTCCCTTGGACAGTTTTCCGGGAAAAAAATTAAATGTAAGATGATGCATTTATGCCTCATTTGGTTAATTTTCATTGATTTACCATGTCGTTATTTTTCACTGAAAAAAATTGAAATTTCAGTATAATAACCTCCTAACTCGCCTCTTTATTTCCTGAAAATTTCATAATTTTCCCTTGGACAGTTTTCCGGGAAAAAAATTAAATGTAAGATGATGCATTTATGCCTAATTTGGTTAATTTTCATTGATTTACCATGTCGTTATTTTTCACTGAAAAAAATTGAAATTTCAGTATAAGGACCTCCTAACTCTCCTCTTTATTTCCTGAAAATTTCATAATTTTCCCTTGAACAGTTTTCCGGCAAAAAATTAAATGTAAGATGATGCATTTATGCCTAATTTGGTTAATTTTCATTGATTTACCATGTCGTTATTTTTCACTGAAAAAAATTGAAATTTCAGTATAAGGACCTCCTAACTTTCCTCTTTCTTTCCTGAAAATTTCATAATTTTCCCTTGAACAGTTTTCCGGCAAAAAATTAAATGTAAGATGATGCATTTATGCCTAATTTGGTTAATTTTCATTGATTTACCATGTCGTTATTTTTCACTGAAAAAAATTGAAATTTCAGTATAATGACCTCCTAACTCTCTTCTTTTTTTCCTGAAAATTTCATAATTTTCCCTTGGACAGTTTTCCGGGAAAAAAATTAAATGTAAGATGATGCATTTATGCCTCATTTGGTTAATTTTCATTGATTTACCATGTCGTTATTTTTCACTGAAAAAAATTGAAATTTCAGTATAATGACCTCCTAACTCTCTTCTTTTTTTCCTGAAAATTTCATAATTTTCCCTTGGACAGTTTTCCGGGAAAAAAATTAAATGTAAGATGATGCATTTATGCCTCATTTGGTTAATTTTCATTGATTTACCATGTCGTTATTTTTCACTGAAAAAAATTGAAATTTCAGTATAAGGACCTCCTAACTTTCCTCTTTCTTTCCTGAAAATTTCATAATTTTCCCTTGGACAGTTTTCCGGGAAAAAAATTAAATGTAAGATGATGCATTTATGCCTAATTTGGTTAATTTTCATTGATTTACCATGTCGTTATTTTTCACTGAAAAAAATTGAAATTTCAGTATAAGGACTTCCTAACTTTCCTCTTTCTTTCCTGAAAATTTCATAATTTTCCCTTGGACAGTTTTCCGGAAAAAAAATTAAATGTAAGATGATGCATTTATGCCTAATTTGGTTAATTTTCATTGATTTACCATGTCGTTATTTTTCACTGAAAAAAATTGAAATTTCAGTATAATGACCTCCTAACTCTCTTCTTTCTTTCCTGAAAATTTCATAATTTTCCCTTGGACAGTTTTCCGGGAAAAAAATTAAATGTAAGATGATGCATTTATGCCTAATTTGGTTAATTTTCATTGATTTACCATGTCGTTATTTTTCACTGAAAAAAATTGAAATTTCAGTATAATGACCTCCTAACTTTCCTCTTTATTTCCTGAAAATTTCATAATTTTCCCTTGGACAGTTTTCCGGGAAAAAAATTAAATGTAAGATGATGCATTTATACCTAATTTGGTTAATTTTCATTGATTTACCATGTCGTTATTTTTCACTGAAAAAAATTGAAATTTCAGTATAAGGACCTCCTAACTTTCCTCTTTCTTTCCTGAAAATTTCATAATTTTCCCTTGAACAGTTTTCCGGCAAAAAATTAAATGTAAGATGATGCATTTATGCCTAATTTGGTTAATTTTCATTGATTTACCATGTCGTTATTTTTCACTGAAAAAAATTGAAATTTCAGTATAAGGACCTCCTAACTTTCCTCTTTCTTTCCTGAAAATTTCATAATTTTCCCTTGAACAGTTTTCCGGCAAAAAATTAAATGTAAGATGATGCATTTATGCCTAATTTGGTTAATTTTCATTGATTTACCATGTCGTTATTTTTCACTGAAAAAAATTGAAATTTCAGTATAAGGACCTCCTAACTTTCCTCTTTCTTTCCTGAAAATTTCATAATTTTCCCTTGGACAGTTTTCCGGAAAAAAAATTAAATGTAAGATGATGCATTTATGCCTAATTTGGTTAATTTTCATTGATTTACCATGTCGTTATTTTTCACTGAAAAAAATTGAAATTTCAGTATAAGGACCTCCTAACTTTCCTCTTTCTTTCCTGAAAATTTCATAATTTTCCCTTGAACAGTTTTCCGGCAAAAAATTAAATGTAAGATGATGCATTTATGCCTAATTTGGTTAATTTTCACTGATTTACCATGTCGTTATTTTTCACTGAAAAAAATTGAAATTTCAGTATGATGACCTCCTAACTTTCCTCTTTATTTCCTGAAAATTTCATAACTTTTCCTTCCATAATTCTTATTGAGTTCAAAAATGATTATAATATATACAAAACGACTCCTATGAAGACACTTTTGTATAAGGCAGACTATGATTTTCTACCATCAACCAACTAATTTCAACGTTGCCAAATCAACCCTTTTTTAACCAAAAATTTTTTTGTTCCAGGTAACAATGTAGATGATAATGTAGAAGAAACCTCCACGCCAACAATAGAAGAAGTCAAAGAACCCCCTCAGAAAATAGTTCCTCAAGAATTAATCGACAATTTCGTCTCAATGGCAACATGGGAAAACATCTACGACGGAATGTCGTATCATTGCGCCTACTCTTTACCCGCAGTAGTATTGACTTTGGGCAAAGACAATTGGCCTTTACTCAAAAATACTGTTGACACATTTAGCAGGCCACATGTCCTATAAAATCCGAAGAACCGTAGCGAGTAGTCTACACGAAATCGCCCTTATTCTAGGACCTGAAATTGCAACTGAAGACTTGGCACCACTGTTCGAAGGCTTTTTAAAAGACCTGGACAAAGTCCGCATTGGAGTTTTGAACAATTTGTTTGAGTTTTTCAATTTTGTTGAATGTTATTATTAATTATATTATTTTATATAATATAATAAAAACAAAGAACTTGCAAGTGAACTAAAATTTTCCATTTTTTTTTTTAATTCGATAGTTTATACTGCACAATATTTATAATATGAACAGTTTTCATTCAACTGATACCGTCCTTGTTGTACAAAAAGTAATACTAAATTTGAAATAAAAAATTTCCCGCCAAAACAATGCTTCCATGATGGCCACCTTTTTTGACGTCACGATTCTGTGAACAAACCTGTGTAATAACTGATCAATAGAAGTATCAATGAAATGTATTGTTATTGTTTATAATTTTTAGATGTCATCCAGTCAGCTGTTGTGAGGTTAGTGTAACAAAACATTCCATTGAGGCGGTGTGTAGAATATATTTGAGGAAATCTGTAATCACAATAAGCTAAACATCCGCCAGGCTGTCAAGAATCTCTCGGTATTATCTCTTGAGTATACTAGAATCTAGTGAATTATTCTACTTGATTCGGGAAAATAAGATTATCGTGTGTATTCTAGATTTTACAGGAATAGATTTAGGGATATATAAAGGCGGCTATTGCTTTGTAGTTTTAAGTTAAAGTTTGACTGTGATACGAGTTAAATAGTGATTATTGAGTTGTAAAGTTTAATTGTTGAGTTAGTTATTAAAGTAATTAGTGTCAGAGTGTTTTGTTAAGTGGAATAAATTATTGCTGTGTTAATTGGACTTTGATTTTTTGGAATAAAGTTAAAGACGATGTTCAGCAATTAAGACAAGAAGTTGAGGACCAAGTTCAAGCACTCGAGGATAAGATGCGTAGATTAGAAATACAGTCCATAAATCCAGCTAGTGTTGGAGCATTCTCCAGTATGAAGATAAAACCACCAACTTTCGACGGTTCTACGTCCTGGACCATGTATATTCGACAATTTGAAGCTGCTGCAAATACCAACGGATGGAACGACCAAGAAAAAGCTACAGCACTAATAGTGGCGCTACGAGGACCTGCCTTAGACCTTCTTCAGTCCATTCCTTCAGCCTACCAACAGAATTACCAGCATCTTAGTCAAACTTTAGAGACCATTACAGACAAGAAGTATTCAGAACTCAAGTTAAATCAAGAGTTCAAAAACCCGGCGAGAGTCTACAAGAATTTGAATCGGAAGTTAAAAGGCTAGTGAGTTTGGCGTTTCCTGCAGCTGGGGAAGACATGCAGGAATGGATGGCAGTATCTGCGTTTATTGATGGTCTCAGAGATTCGAAGATCCAGGAAAACCTAAGAATGTCCAAGTTCAGACAAAGTAGCGAAGCCCTTGTTCGAGCATTAGAACTGGAAGCAATATTTGGTGCCTCACGACCCAGAATACGAGCAGTGTCCATTGAAGACCCAAAAGATAAACAGTTGTCAAAAGAGGATAGTAGCTTCGAAACTAAAATGAGTAATTTCATGGAGAGAATGGAGAAACTGTTACAAGAAGATAGACATTTTGTGAAATCCAAATTAAATACAGACACCTTGATGCAGACCTTGACGAAATCATGGAAGCATCTTGATCCAGATAGACTTCAAGAAGCCACAGATTTCATTTTGAAAGAAGCTGATGTATTTGTGATGGACAATCAAACCGGACGAACCAGCTTAATTCAACACAACATTGATACTGGATTGGCACACCCAATTAGACAACCACCACGACGTATGCCAGTAGCTAAGCAACAGGAAGTGGAAAACCAAATTAATAAAATGCCTCAAGAGGGAGTCATTGAAGAGTCAAATAGTCCATGGTCCGCGCCGAGTAGTATTGATTACGAAGAAAGATGGGAGTCTTAGGTTTTGTGTGGACTACCGAAAGCTTAATGACGTCACCAAAAAGGACAGCTTCCCTCTCCCAAGAATAGACGATACACTAACAACTCTATCGGGCTCCAAATGGTTTTCCACCTTGGATCTCAAAAGTGGATATTGGCAAGTGGCAATACATGACGATGACAAAGAGAAAACTGCCTTCAGTACCGGAAGCGGGCTATACCAGTTTAATGTAATGCCTTTCGGATTGTGTAATGCTCCAGCTACGTTTGAGCGACTGATGCATCTTGTTTTGCGAGGCCTTACATGGAGAACTTGCCTGGTATATTTGGATGATGTCATGATTATGGGAAATTCGTTCCAAGAACATCTCAATAACCTAAAAGAAGTTTTTGACCGCTTCCGGAATGCCAACTTGAAACTCAATCCAAATAAGCAGTGGCGGCTCGTCAGAGGAGGCAGAGGAGGCTAAACCTCCCCCAAAAAATTGGGTAAATTCAATTTCAATTTTTTATTCTAATTAAAATAATAATTACACAACAGAATTCCAATTTTCGATATTCCAATGTAATTTTAAAAAATCTGACAGAATTATTTCAATCAATCCCGTGTCCTCACGACAAAAATCTGTGAATCTGGGATACTCAGTAATACCGGCCCGAAGGGCCGGAGTTATATGCGAGCCCGAAGGGCCGGAGTTGTACGCGAGCCCGAAGGGCCGGAGTTATATGCGAACCCGGCCCGAAGGGCCGGAGTTATACGTGAGCCCGAAGGGCTAGAGTTATTTTAATCACGGGGCTCAGTCTATATATTCAGCGGATAATTTAGAGCCAATTAAAAACCAGGATTATTTAAAATGCGATTTTTAGCGTCCGATCAAAGAGCCGGGAATATTCAAAAACTTTAGTTTTATCAAATTGGCTTTGGAATGTTGGTTTTCCTGAGATTTTTATTTTTTTCAGAAAACGGTGGTTTTCGCAAATATATACTACTTTATCGTTGTCTTTGTCTTACTCACTATAATCAATAAGGAAACCTTGTAATGTCATTTTCATTGAAATTAAATTAAAAACAAGTTTCCTATGATTTATTTGGGGAATTTTAATTATTATAATCATTATTAATTAATTATTAAATTGAATTTTAAACAAAAAACCCTTTTAAAATGTTATTTTTGTTTTCCGAAATGAGATGTGGCAACGTTGCTTTTAGTTGGCCATTTTGAAGTGACGCCTTGTGATTTTTTGCCAGTTTTTCCTCGAATTTTACACTTTTCCGGGGCTTTTCAATGGAAAAAGGCGATTTAACATACGAGGCTTTGAGTTTTCTTCATTTACTAGCAAAAATGTCCAGTTTTAAAATGACATAAATAACAAAATCCCATTTAAAATGGTTTTTTTAAAAGTTTTGATGTGGCAACACCGTTTGCACCAACTTCAAATAGGTTCTGTAATAAATGTCATTTGACAGTCGGCAATTTTTAATTGACGTGTTCATATTTCTATCCAATTTTTCCTCGAATTTTCCGCTTTTCCAGGCCGTTTTCAGTCAAGAAAACCAATTAGAAATACGAGGCTTTGAATTTCCTACATTTTGTGCTAAAAATTCCCAGTTTTCCAATGGGGTAAGTGATAAAAACTCAAATTTCATTAAGTAGGCTTTGGAATGTCATTTTTAGAGGTTTTTCTTTAGATTTGTCCGCTTTTTTAGAGCTTTTGTGGTCGGAAAAACCGATTTAAAGTACGAGGCTTTAAGTTTTTTTCATTTTTTAGTAAAAATTTCTAGTTTTAAATGCCATAATTAGCAAAATCCCATTTAAAATGCTTTTGATGTGGCAACATCGCTTGTGGCTGTCGGCCATTTTCAATTGACGTGTTTACATTTTTATTCAGTTTTTCTTCGAATTTCCACTTTTCCGGGGCTTTTTCAGTCGAGAAAACTGATTTAAAGTACGAGGCTTTGAGTTTTCTTCATTTTCCACCAAAAATTTCCAGTGTTTTAACGGGGTAAGTGAGAAAAATTTTAGTTTTATCAAGTAGGTTTTGGAATGTCATTTTCATTGTTTTTTTTTTTGGAATTTTTATTTAAAGTTTTTGGGATCCGGGGAACGTTCTCTACCACTTTTTTTCTCAAAATTCCCAAAATATGACGTTGACAGCTGTCAATTTTTTTTTACACAAATCGATAGTTGGCGTCGCGAAACTGCCTTTTACCGGGGTTTGATTTTCGTAGTTTCTATAATAGAGCGGGGAAAAAGTCGAACATGTGTCAAATTTGACAGGTGACATCTGTCGATATTGATGACAAAAGTTTTATCCGAACGAATCCGTTCATTGTCAACTGATTTCAATACTCCGGCCCTTCGGGTTGTAATCTTTGAAACAAAAAGACGTCATTTTGTATCGATTGTCAAAAAACCCAAGGGTTGAAATTTCAATTTTTTGACGCTTGTTGTATCATGAGCAGTGTTGCCATATGTTTTTTTTTTTCAAATCTAGAAATAGAATATTATGATAAATTCCCTTCCCCCGAAGCAAAAAGTTTCTCATGAGGGGCGGCAAAACAAGCTCTTGCACGAGGGCGGCCAAAGAGCTAGAACCGGCCCTGACATTGGAGAAAACTAAAACTCGGAATATCAACTATAAATCACATTTTGAATATTCCCGATTTTTGATTGCCTCCAAATTATTCACCCAAATTATCCACTGACCAATAGAATTATAGACTGTGCCCCGTATAATTAAAATAACTTTAGCCCTTCGCGCTCGTATTACTCCGGCCCTTCGGGCTCGCATATAACTCCGGCCCTTCGGGCTCGCATATAACTCCGGCCCTTCGGGCTCGCGTATAACTCTAGCCCTTCGGGCTCGCATATGACTCCGGCCCTTCGGGCTCGCATATGACTCCGGCCCTTCGGGCTCGCATATGACTCCGGCCCTTCGGGCTCGCATATGACTCCGGCCCTTCGGGCTCGCATATAACTCCGGCCCTTCGGGCTCGCGTATAACTCTAGCCCTTCGGGCTCGCATATGACTCCGGCCCTTCGGGCTCGCATATGACTCCGGCCCTTCGGGCTCGCATATGACTCCGGCCCTTCGGGCTCGCATATGACTCCGGCCCTTCGGGCTCGCATATGACTCCGGCCCTTCAGGCTCGCATATGACTCCGGCCCTTCGGGCTCGCATATGACTCCGGCCCTTCGGGCTCGCATATGACTCCGGCCCTTCGGGCCGGAGTTACTGAGTATCCCAGATTCACAGATTTTTGTCGTGAGGGCACGGGATTGAT